GCCCTGGCAAGGGTCCTACCCAGAGTAGGGCAAATGGAATGGACTTCACAGAACTCTCGGGATGGGGGCTGCGCCAGGCACAGCTGAGTGACTGGCATCTGTGGGATTCCTTCTCCCTGCCCGGGATGCTGCGGGGCACTTCCATGGCCCTCCTTTAATCCTTATAAGAAACTTTGAAGCTGATACAACTTACCTCATTTCATAGATGAGAAATTCAAGAGTCAAAGAGTAACCTTCTCCAAGTTATACTTCTAATGGGTCTTCAATCTTGTTTGTTTGTGGTCAAACCTAACCTTTCCCCACTAATCTTTACTGCCGTTAGATCAAAGGGTCAATGCTGACACTAATGCCAAAGTCAAACATCTGACATTCATGCACTCAATTCTACAAGTATTTATTGAGTATGTGTTCTAAGTCTACTAAGACATCACTATCAAGTTTCTCCAGGGCAAGAGAGGAGCAAAAGCTGCAAGAGAAGCCGGACAATGCAGGGTGTGGTCCGTAAACGTGTGCAGGAGGCATCAGGGAGGCAGAGAAGAAACAGGGTAGGAGTTAACTACAAGCCGGCCGACTAAAACATATTGTCAAGGGCCTTGAGTGCCCTTGAACCCTAAGAAAACTGAACTTGGTTGTAAGTCAGCCAAAGAGTAGAGACTGAAAGGGGAGAGATCAGAGAGAAGGTGAGAATGCAATAAGAAGACACAACACAATCCCAGAAAAAACAGAAGGGAATAAATACAGCAGAGACAGTGGAGGGTCCACGTAGTAGAATAATTAGGTCTTAGGGGAAGACAGAAAAAGGTGAAGGACATGTGACTGTCATAAAGGTAAAGGAATGCTTGGTGGGAGGAAAGAGGAGGAGAGGTGAGGGAGAGGAGCGGGGGCAGGTGGTAAAACAGAGTTTGGGACCTTGTAGGTGGACACTGTTCTGCATAAAGAGCAGATTGAAGGCTTGGTCCTTTGTGTTGATTCTGAAACACCATGGGTGTTCACTGGATGCAAAGAAGTCAGTGAATCACTTCTACAAGGAGAGGCTTCCCAGGGTATAATTTCTTCTGCAAGGCTGACATGAGGCAGGTTGAACCACACCAGGCTTCAGAACACCAGATACAAGGTGCTGGGGGAGCTGCAAAACAGGCCCCGTCATCTAAGCTGCCAGTGAAGACCAACCATCTCATTTAAGAGGGAAATCCTGTGTGAGTCCTAACTCAGTTCTGTCCAGGCCAGACCTGCCTTGCACACTTCCAAGGCCAGGGGGCCTCCCATCAGGGATCCCTGGCCTGGGGTCTCTGAACACAAGCTGATGAGCACATGGAGTGACCGTGGCCACACTGTTTTCTCTTCCACAGTGCCTGGATGGGTTTCTGAGAAAGACTGTACCTTCTCAGATTTGAACTGTCTTGATGAACTCTGACAGAGTTTTAACAAGTTTTTCAGTTTTATTTCTGAGGGAGAAAAAAAAAGACAGGAAGAGAGACAGGTACCAAAATAACTGGCTTTAACAAATGGCTAATGGTTTAAAAATAGTGCAGGGGCTGACGTTTTTTCTTTATCTCAGTGGTTGACCTTGCTAATATAGTATGTAGATATCTTGCCAACTAATCGGCCGACTGTAAAGCACGGTTTCAAGCTGTGGTCAATGATCTGTAGCGGGAATGAATGAGAGGGTGTTAGCAGCCAGGATCTGTAGCCTGCTATCTGTATCTGACAGCTGTCACCCTCTCTGCAGAGGCCAAGGCCTAGACCTTCATTTAAAAGCAGCATGGCTGATCAGATTACTGGGACAGTGTGTCAGAACTGACTGCGCTGAACTAGGGAGACAGAAAGTAAATCCATAAATAGCAGTCTTGCTGCCTCCGTGAAGCACTGAAGGGTAACCAATATTGTGCAGAAAATGCAGTGTTTAGTCTTTGCAGCCAGTGGGATACAACTGTGGCTAGATCAGAAGCTCTGTTCTATGATATAATGTAATGGAAGATCGGCTTTATGGGTAAGAATTTAAAAGAGTTACATTCTTTGCACTGGTAATGGTCGCACAGCAATAATTGGTTTGAACCAACTTTATGAGCTAACAAGGTTCCCCAGCACTTGATAATATCCTCAGGGCACAGGGACTCAAGCAAGTCACCTTTCCCATAATGTGCTGGCTGCCTGTTTCCAACAGTCCACGGGGAGCACCAGTGTTGAAACAGAGAGAGTGATAAAATAAGAGCTCTCCATTTGATATCTATTACAGATGTCAACTGAGTCTTCAACGAGAACAGCTGCAGAAAGTACTTGGGGAGAGCAGCGCGTCATGAGGGTGTGTTATCTACAGACCACGCTGATAGCACAGCTTAGACACTGGACATCACCGGGTTATAAAGGAGCCAGCTGACATTTTATAGTATGTACCAACTCTTCCAAGAACCATTTGTCACTCTTCAAGGTTTCCACTGGTAAAACCAAGATGTCTAAAAATTTGTCAACAACCACAGAAAGTAACCCTGAGGTCATGTCAGAGGGTGACAAAGAATGTGCTTACTTGACATTCTACAAACATGCAAATGGAACACTGGCCGTGACAGTGTTTCAAAGGGCTCTCCAGGTTGCAGAGTGCCAGATCAGCTTTGGTATGACTGCTGTGGATGTGGACATCGAGATGGTGTATTCCAGGAGCAGTGCAAGACAACCATGTGAATACAGACCTGGCCTGTGAGGCAATCCCCGGGTCCCCAGCCCTGCCTACTTCAGACCACTGGTGTGGAGTCTGAGGAATTAAGCAAGTGAATTTTTTCCAGGCTGACTGCAATTGCCCTGGCTCTCTCTGTTTTAAAAGGTTCAATTTAAATAACTCTTTTCAGAAATAATAAAACCATCAAGAAAAAACAGTATTAATAACAACTAACAGTTCCATAGGCCAGGTACTGTTGTAAGAGCTTTCCGTGCATCATGCACCTCCTCACATCTGATGAGACAGGTACTCACATTATCCCCACTTTGCAGATTAAAACCTGAGACATAGAAGAGTTAACTGCTCAAGGTCACACAGTGAGTAAGAGGAAAGTGAGGATTCAAACTCAGGCAGGCCAGCTTCAGAGCTACCACAAGAACTCCTCCTTGGCCCCCCAAAACTGTCTCCTCAAGAAAGATACTGTTGGAAACTAAGTTAGAATATGTGGAAAGAAATGATCAAAGCAACTCATTCAGAACTATGTAGGGATCAAAAATAAAGAGGAAGAACAAAAGGGCCACCTCCGTCCTGAAGGCTGACTCAGTTTACACAGCATGCATTTCCTAAGCACCTCTGTCTCCAGGCACTGTGCGTGGCTGCGGGTACAAAAATGAGTAAGAAAGAGCTGAGAAAGCCAGGCTAGGGGCTGTACTCCAATGGGGGTCCTCCACCCTGGAAGGCCATACCATTGTTACCATTGGTTTGGCTTCTTCAGACATGCGAGAACATCTTTTACCTAAGAAATATAATTGGGGTGGGGCATGCTGTGGGGCATAAATGGCAGAGGAGCATCCTCCCCACTGTTCTCAGGCCAATGGAAAACATCACAAGATAGAGCTTTGAACAAAAATGAGTTGCTGAGCCTTCAGGCTGACACTGACGCCTCTTTACATGATTGCTGCTGGCCATTTTGGGGCTCCTGCTGGCACTTTCTGCTGCCCAGAAGAGAGCAGAATAAGCCTAATTAGAAAGTCACATGTGCTCCCAGAGCTTTAACAGTGTCACACTGGCTGGCTGTTACTATCTCTTAGAATCCCTGGTGCTGGAGCAGAGAGGAATAACTGGAGATAATTTAATTCAACCTCCTGGGTTCAGCCTCAATGGATCCAAAAAGAAGGGTCCCCGAAGTTTCAGTGGCTTGCCCAAGGCCGATCAGCCAGAGCATGGCAGAACCAGGACTGGACTCACATCTGAGAACTCCCGGTGTAACTATCTTTCTACAGCCCCGTATAGCTGTCATGGAATAAATGTAGTACTATGAATCAGTAAATTCAATCAAGTCAAATGCGTGTTTTGAAAAGTGAAGAATGAAGAAATAGAGTTTGAAGAACATTCAACATTCATGAGATGTGCCCATTTCAGGTCACTGGAGATGTTTCTCTGGTGCAAAGGTTTTCTTAATAAGGGGTTTCATTGGCCAGTTGGATCGAGACATGCACACACTAATATTATTTTGCTTCTGGCAATACCTTAAACCCCCAGTTAGGCAAGTCTAAAAAGCAGCAATGGCCTTGAGAGTGCAGCATGGTTTATACATGGCATACACATCTTTGAGGATTTGGAGAAATCTACAAGGGATCCAATGCTTTTCCACCTATTGACATTTACAAAGCAGTTTAAATCATGCATGAGGGGCCTCAGGCACATGCAGTTCACAAAACATAACTCTGAGCTCCCAGGGAATTTAAGCTGACCAACACTCTTTATTAGAACTGACAGTGAAAGACAGCTATTGCGAAATTCGTACCAGAAATGCAATACCAAGATGACAGCCTTAATGCCAGCGGATATATTATGTAGATTACCCGACTCAAATCTTTCTTGTTAAATAAGTTTCATGCGTTCTTTTTTTTCCCTCAAGAACATCCTTCTGGCTTCACAGGGGGAGCATTCCTTAAATTCCTTGATCATTCATCTGTTTTTCAAAAATTTTGGACATGATAGGTTAGCACAGGAGATCAGATAGAGATATTTAAACAGTGGGAAATAGTTAAACTTTAAGTGAGCAACAGAGCTGAACCACAAATTAAAAATCTCAATGTTATCTTTGTATAATGTTCCAATATTTAATAATATTTAAGAAGAAACATTTTTCTATGGCTGATTCATTCTAGATATCCAATCCCCATGTAATCTAAGATTTTAAGTGTGTGTAATTATAAATTCAGAATAATTTCACCTGCATGCTTTTCTAGGCCAAGACTTTCAAGGAAATAAGGTCCCAATCAAAACTTCAAAACTGGCTAGGGACAAAAGACAGCAAATATGCTTTTCCCTTCCAATCGTCATAGAAGCCAAAATATAATGCAGATGTTTTAAATTCTAATTGGGGAGGAGACAGAAGGAATGGGTCAACATGACTGAGGTCAGACAGACAAGGAAGTTGTTGGCAATTTGGCATGGGTGACAGTGGCCAAGGGCAAATCTGGCAGAGGCTGAATTAAAGTAAAATTGCTATTACTTGGAGGCTTGTAAGTTTCTGAATGGGCTAGGTTACTTGCTTCCTATTCTAGAATTTCCAACCTGCATCAACCTTACATACTCTGGGTTAACTGTTACCACTGCTGGAGTGGCAGCATCACCTTCCTCCGTGGGGCACTGTCTTTTCTAAGCAATGAGGGAACAGCACCTTCCTAGAGACGTGCTTCTGCAGCCAAGGGTCACATCACTTGCAATGCACTCAATGGTTGTGTGCACAGTATGTACCAAGCTGCCTTAAACTTGCTTCTCTATTGTATTCTAATATTTACAGCAAAGAAATTCCAGGATCCATGAGCACAAAGCTCTGTCTCCAGTCTCAATAAGTTAGACACTACTTTCACATAACGACTGTTTTTTTCAAACATATAGAGATGCTTCAGTGATTAAAAATACATTTTCTTTTTAAAAGCACAGCTAAATTCACAGTAACTTTTCATTCCTTGTGCATTTTCTTAATGGGCAATTTCAAACATGTATTAGAGGAGAAAGAACTGTATAATAAACCCTAATTTATCATCACCCAGCTTTAACAATGATCAACTCATGGTCAGCCTTGTTCCTTATATACCGTACTCATCCCTACTACTTGCACCTTTCCAGATAATTTTAAAACAACCCCAGACATTATATCATTTTACTGACATGTATTTCAGTACCTGCATTTTATATTTTTAGAATTACAAGATGGTAATAGGAATCTCATTCTTTTTAATTTTTAACAATGAAATTATCCTCATGTTCAAAACAAACTGAAGAACTATTTTTCTAGATGCTTCCATGGATCTCAATCATTTATTCACATACAAGAGCAGAGAATTTCTAATTTCCATATAACCATTAGGGACTAACAAGACATGCATAGCTTGTGTTTCATGAATGATTTTCAAATGATTTCCTGAATGATACCCACTATATATGCAAACGTAAATTTGCTGCATTATTATAATCAAAGCCCAAGAGTGAATATATTAATAGAGTAAGCTTGAAATAAAATCTCCTTAAAAGGGTTACTGTTCATGTTAAATAAGAGATACATCATGTATCCTGTAATCTAAGTAGCAAACACAATTGCACACCCCACAGGCAAGACACAGTCTTTCAAAGGATGATAATAAAGAAGCTGCAGATATATTTTTATGTGCTGGGTATAAAAAACACAATCGTGAATAATCACTTGAGCATCCAAGATCATGTGCGATCCACAAGTGACCCTTAAGACCCTGAGTGTGAAGAAAATTGAAGCAGTCTGATACCCTACAATCATCTAAATAAACTTTCAAAAAACTGCCTTCTGTGCTTCCAGTCATGTCTTTTAAAAATCACAGCACTGAATGAATTATATTATATTAGTATAACCGACAGCTGATGAAATAATGCAAGAAAAATAATCTACACATGGCCTCAAATTAAACCACAAAGACAATAGGCTAGTGGAAGTAAAATCACTCATCGTACAGTGATTTTACTCTATTTTATATCAAAATAAAGGGCCAACCTAAACCTTCCTCAGGATATTACATTCTGGAACTAATCACAAAATACTTCCAGAAGGGGGGCTTATTTCAGAAAATCTATATACATTTTGATGTTTTCAAGGGTGAGCAAGCTTTCTACATCACACGGTAGTTAGATGTGGAAAAAATACCACAGTGATATGAAATAAGTGAAGATCATTGATCTGAAATAGTCTATAATTACCATTTTAAGGGCAGAACACCTGTTTTATGGAGGGAACATACATATGCAGTACACCTCCTCACCATAATTACAAGACTGAATGACGTCCCGCAGTTTCTTGGTTTCCATCGCTTTCCTCTGACTTTCAGTTCTGCAGGTGGCCAGTGAGACAGCCCGAGTGAAGGGCTGCTCTGCACCCAGTCCTGCTCCCCAGCCCCTGAGGCTGAGCGCTTCTCTTCATTCTCTCTGTAGTGCATCAGGAGTGTGCCGGGTTAACTTTAGTAACACACAAACACGATGATGTCCTGAAGCAAGGAGCAGATCCCATTAAGACTGGTTTAAAACCAAAAAAATCTAACTAACACCTTTTCCTTTTTAAAAAATTCCTCCTATCAAAACAATTGGGCTCAACAGAAGAACAGCACATATAATTGAGAATAAAAGATACAGGTGGATTACTTGAAGATGTTGCATACTATCATAAAATCTCTTGCTACTTCAAAAGTAACTACTGCACTTTCTTCATTTCAACATTTAGTGTAAGAGTTTTGCTTCTTAAAATTTCAGAGAATTCCATCACTGCCAGGGTTACATCGGAGAATAAGCATCATCTGGCTCAATCTCCAATGACAAATGAAACCCCTCTTCCAATATCCCGCCAAGTGGCCTTGTCCTGTGCTTGGTGATGGCAAGCTCATTTTCCTCAGGAAGTTAATTCCATGTTTAAACAGCTCCACTTCTGGGTTGTAGCTCAACACAAGAAAGAATTTTCTGTCTCCTCATAGTTTCAACCTACTTTTCCTAGTTCTACCCTTAAGAGATCCCATAAACTAATTCCAATCTTTCACTGGAAAGAATTTTAAGTATTGTATTGCAAAAAGTCATTGTATTCTTCAAAACTTCTCTGCTCTAGGTGAACATCTATAGTCATTTGAACAGTTTATAGGATATGGCTTCCAAACATCTTTGTCATCATTTGCTTATTCATTTGTTTGTTCATTCATTCATTCATTCTCCAGATAAACATTTATAATTATTTCAATTCTTCTTCACAAGCCATGGCTTCAAGAATACCTTACTCATCATTTATTTGTTTGTTCACTCATTCATTTGATCATTTATTCATTCAGGAAACACTGGGTGAGCCTTTAACTCTGTTAAGTTCTAGACACTGTACTGGGTGATCTGAACACAAGAAATCAGAAGCCCCTAGTGACACATAGATACAGGATCATGATGCTGTGTGGTAAGTGCTATCCTAGAGTATGTAAATGGACAGTGTGATATAAATAAGCTTGTGTTATAAGATCACTTCTAAGTACTTTATAATATTCTACTCAATTAAAACAGACCTGAGGTTAATCCACTACTCCCGCTGCAGGGAGTTTTTCCCAGTAGAAGCAGTGGGCTGTACCACTGTACCGCAGAGGTAATTGTCTCCCCAGCAATCTGTCCTGTTTCTCGTTATTGGTAAACCCCAGCTTTGTTCAGGTATCAGACAGCCATGTGCACAGAAGATGATCAAGTGGCCTAAGCTAATCTGCATGTGCTTCTGACTGGTATTTGGTGTACATGTAACCTGTTTCTGGCTAGGTCATCATAAGATGTGAGGGAAGTCTACTGTAGGGTCTCTGGGGAGGATTTTCCCTCCTAATTAAAAGAAAGATGCAATGAAGGGGTAGGTCTGCTCTCTTCCGCCCTTGGGCATACGAGGTGCGCATACAATGCTTGGAGCTGAGACAGCCATCTTACCAACAGAAGGTGAAGCAAAGAAAACCTCAGAGATGGCTGTCCAACCCTCAGTGGGACATCTCACTTTGTGAGACAGTTAACTGAACGTCCCTGTTTTATGGCCACGTTCAGCTGCTGTTACTTGCAGCCCAAAGCATCTCAGCTGGCACAGAGGCCCACACGGTCTTCAGAGCAAGGGCCTCGGTAATGGACTGACTACAGGAAGAAATTGAGCTTTTATTGGCAAAACAAGAAGCCAACTAGAAAATCTGGAGAGGGAGGCTATGACCTCATTGCTGAGATTCAGAAAAGGGAAGATAAAGACTGATGGAGATGAAATTATAAAATGATGACAGCCTTGCCCTGGTCTGGAGCTTTTCTTCCAAACCAGGGGAGTGGGGATGAGGCACCTTAATGGCCCTTTTGCTCACAGATACAAACCTTTAAAACTTCCCAGAGTCTGACTTGTCTAAAGTAAAGGGGACCAGTATTATGATTTATATCCTAAGAAACGACAAGAATGAAATGCCACAGCACTTCAGAGAAGGTCCCTTTGGCATGGCTGGGACTTTAAGCCATGGTTTCATTTTTTGCCCCCATTGTGCTTTTACTTGAATCAGTTGCTTTCAAGTATATAACCAAACCCGCTAAAAACATCAACTGTATTTGCCTGCTGTGGGATTAGGAAACTTTGTTTTAGTCTTCAGCCAAAGGACAAAATTAGCAGTTAAAAAAAATGTTTCGGGAAGAAACAGAAGAGGCACCCACCATTGAAGGACACAGGGACAGGGAGCTTTGAAGGCAGTACGAGGTGTCTTGCAGCTTGAAGAAATAGTCTGTCCTGGATTTCACAAAATATTAGGAAAATAATCTCTTCTCCTTTCTCAAATTTTTGGAACTGAAATTTGCTCATTTACAAAATGTTAATATATGAAAAATATGCTTTTGATAACTTCCTAGAAAGCTTTCTAAATGACCTGCCTCCATAAAGCCCTACTTCCAAAATTTGCTTCTGGCACACACTTCTTCCATCCTCCCCTCAACCATTCACTTAATTAATTCTCCTATGCAGGACCATTAGAGGCACAGCGGGTGTAGTGATAAAATTAAATGCAAAATCCCTGTCCTCAAGACACCACCACTCCAGTGGTGACAGGCAATGAATAAGTGGAGGTGGAGGTGTGTGTGCAAATGTTGGCTGAACGCTATGAAGAAAAGCAAAGCAGGATTAGGAGATACAAGGAATCTGGGGTAGAGGAGGTACTATTGTTTTGACAGAGCAGCCAGGTAAAGCCTCCCAGAGGAGTGACATTTAAATAGAGAGACCCTAATGGATTAGGGGAATGAGTCAAATGACCCTGTAAGGGGATGGAGCATTCAGGTCGATGGAACAAACTTCTGAGGTGCACATAGGCTCAGCCTACTGGGAGGACAGGCCTCTGTGACTGAGTAGAGGGGTAGGAGGTGAGACTGGAGCAGTTGGCTGGCATCAGACATGGCAGGGATCATAGTTCTAAATGTGAAGAGAAGGCAACGGAGGGCTTTGAGCACCCTGGCCTCAGTTCCTTGACCAGGTCCTTACCTCCAATCATTGGAAATCACAATTTAAAAATTGGTAGGGTGTGGCAATAGGGATGGGGGCTGAGGTGGGTGCTAGGAGGCCAGGAATTGGGAGACCTAAGGGTCAGATGGGCTGCTCACATGGATGCTGAGTCTTAGTGGAAAGAGAGGTGAGTTAGATGGTAAAATCTTTAACACATGAGGGTGAGGACGGCAGACATAAAAGAGTGGCAGTGATAACAACTGACACATGGCTTTCAATGCTGCATTTTTTAAGATGAAAGAGGAACAATGTATCTGAATTTAGAAGAAAGGTGAGCGAGAGAGAGAAAGCCAGACCCTGGTTCCTGCATCTCATTTCTACATCTGCGGTTATATACAGCAACACATTACACTCACACTGTGCAATCTGCTGTCCTGGGAATGAAGAACACAGTGTAGTATGACAATCTAGAAAGAAAATAAGATGAATAAAATTTCTTTCTATTTTTCTCATTGCTTCATTATAACCTCACATATTTGATAATATTTGGGATTGGGTTTTATTACCATAGTGCATTTTTCAGGACGCTGAAGCTTATACCTTTAGGTAAAACATTTAAGTATATCAGGAGACATCTCCCTGATTTTCTCTTTAAAAACTTCCCACACTTGATTACCTGGAGCCTAATTCCATTCTCTCTTGATAACCCAGTGTCCCAGTGGCGGGGCTCAGTCACTGTGCCTGCTGCTGCCGTGGCGGGGAGGCAGCGCCCTGGGCGCTCTGGCACCGTGGCAGTGGCGGGCTTGCCCTCGCGGGAGGCCACCCAGCAGCTGCCGGTGAAAGCCCCCCTGGCGAGGGCAGCGCCCCGGGGCGGGAGCGGTGTGGCCCCCTGCCGTGCTGGGTGCCTTCTACTGCTGGCAGCGCAGTGGGGATTCGCTCCCTAATTCTAAGGACCAGGAGGGGGCCTGCTCAGGGGCCCGTGGGCAGGGACGCCTGGGCCACAGAGCCAGGCGCCTGCGCTGAGGGAACAACAGCATGTCGCTGCTCAGAATCAGGCGCTTCCGCACAGGAGTTGCTGTGGGAACTCCACCTTCTGACACCGTGAGGCCTCCCTGCACTTGTGGAAGCAAGGGAGGCGGAACACATGGAAATTCTTGCCTGCCAACAACAGGGAGCAGCGTAGAGTGAAGGCGGGGGACTGCCCTCATCCACCTGCTTGGATGCCCCTCACAGGGTGCAGCTGGGGAAGGTTTCATGGAAGAGACCGGAGAGCTCTACTTTGGGTGTTCTTGGTTGTCTAACAAAATACTCCTGCTTTCCTATGAACCT